AGGTCGCCTGGACACTTATATCCGAGTTTAGAAAGGCTAATATCGGCGTAACTGAAGCCGGTCACAGGGTGATCGAGTCAGCTTATGCCTCGGCGCCAGCAAATACTCTACAAGACTCGGAAGATCTGCTCGAGTACTGGAAGAAAGATAAACAAGTTGGGTTACCTCCCGGCGATAGCATTTGGTGCATCGATCATAATTGGAGATGCGACGAGATTCGTTCAATGGTCCAGGATTATAAGACATTCAAAATCTGGGAAGCCATGTATGCTCGGTCGGAGATATTCAAAAGGCTTATTGATGAAGCTGAAGAAATACTAAAGGTAGAGGAGTGGGCAGAGATAAGAAGAGACCGTATACAGCATCAATATCTATGGAATTTACTAGAGGACATGTTTTCCGATGGGATATTTGTTAGACAGAACGTAGATAGTCTACCCGAGCCCTATTTACTCCGTGATATATTTCGCGACGCTGAATTTGGAAAATAGTATAATTCAACTGTCATTAGTTTGCCTCAGCGGATCCAACTAGATGGAGAAGTCCCCAATCGAGATTAAGTGTCTTCGCTGGCGACCGCAACGAGGAGCGATTTCTCCTCAGCCTCTTCGAGCTAATTGCGTAGTGGAGGCGAAACAATTAACGGATCAAAGGATTTTTTGGTATCCATATCAAGGTACCAAGCAAGGAAATCATGGTATGCTGCAGCCGCATCATCCAAATGGCCTGGGAAATGCTCTTTCGCTAACCACACCTTTGGGCAGCCTGTAAGCATCGTGTCCAAGAGATCTTGCGCCTGTCGCCGGGATGGTTTTTGACCAAACTCTCTCTCGAAACTTAAAACAGTGATCACTTTAAATAAAAATGCTACTGTACTAGTACGACCTCTCTCCAGTTCGAGTACCATTGGAGTCTTATCCCAGAACGGCGGCGGATGTTGTCTCATACTTAGGCCTTTAGGCAGATAAGAAAACCAACTTTTATTTTAATTTTTACTCAAAAGTAGTTTTATTATAAATGTATATCCCTCTCATATTATATAAAATAAAAACAAAAAATTAATAACAATATAATATTATTATAACGATACATAATATTCAACAGGTCTATTAAAAAACTTCTATCGGAGGAAAAAGGGTGTCTGTGTTAGGAACGAGGGCAGAGTAGCTTAGAACAATAAAGGAATCAATACATGAATATAAAACATGCGATAAATTTCGGAAGCTCTCGAGGAGAGCTCATGTTCTTAGTGCAAGAGCGCGTCCCCTTTTGGTTTATCCTTAATTCCCCTCCTCCTCCTCCTCGACTTTAATATGCGGGACCCTAAATATTTCGCTGTCAGGGTTCGCGTTCTTATGGTAATTTTGGAATTTGACGGCATCTTCATAAATCTTTTTGTCCTATCCCTTTGAAGAACGCCTTGGTAAACTCAGGTTTTTGCAATCAGACCTAGACTCCCACGTTTTGTGTTTATCTTTCCAAGACAAGAGAACATATGTTAAAGGCATCCTAAAGTCCCTTCCTCGATTACTCGGGTTGATTGCTTCCGGACCTCTATTCTCTGTATCGACGAACGCGATGGCTGAAATCCCCCGTAACATGCCATGGAATTCAGGCTTCCCGGCTCGTCTGTCCGTTTTATCCAAATTCGAGACTTTGGGGCATCGCTCCCAGTCAACGTTACACTCAGCTGGTAGCAGTATACGATGTACTGGTGAGCTTCTTGGGCCTATGGCCAAGATGATTTGGCTAGAATTGCAACAGCGCGCCACCGGTCTTCCTTTAAAGAATACCGCTGTTACATCCTCACCGATTATGACATCCTCGCCATCTTGCCGGACTCCGAAGCTATTTGTATTATTGGCTGCAGAATCATCTTGTGGCTTGAAAGAGTTTTTATTCGTGAAGCGCGGTACACGGTTCCCGGTACTTTTACCCTGAGGTTTGGTACTTTCACCTTGTCCCTCGGTGTTACCTGGAACATTGGGCCCCTCGGCACTCTTGGAACCATCATCTTGAGACTTGTTTCCAAGATTTGGGTTTCCTCTTCCTCTTCCTCCTCATCTTCAGAAACATTTCGGTCGTCCATTTCATAATCTTCATTTGTAATCTCCATATCATCTAGCCCGTCTATGACTGTGACGTATTCGTTCTGCCTTTTGCCATCGGGTGTCGATTGTCGGGACTTTCTGGCTTTTTTTTGGTATTTTCTTCCGCTTCTTCATCCCGTTTCAAACGGCCTTGATATACTCGTCCTTGGTTCGAGCAGCTTTTGAACCTCGCGCCTTCGGCGCTTTCTTTTGCGTCGTTATATAATCCGCCATGGCGTCCCATTTGTGACTTTTCTAATCCCCATTTTCACCCACCGCATGCAGCTGTTCCAGATTTCCCTTGCACACCTTCCAATCCCCATCTATTATCCAGATATTGAGTACTTTTGATTGACTCGATAGGACCTCGAAAACCGAACAATAATATTGTGCGTCTTCATCCTTGTGGAAATCTATAGGGCCTAACCTCACATATCTCTCCGCTAAAAGATACCAATAGTTGGCATACTGCAATTGTGACTCAAAGTCGACGTCGACGGTTTCTCCATTCCGGCCACTAATGTGGATCTCACCATCCTTGGTAGGCGCCAGAAAATACTTTTTGTCAATTTTCCTGAGAGACCTCGCTATACAAGTCATCAAGAACTTTGGCCGAATGACAAAATTGGTCCTCGTGGACTCATTACTGAGCGTTTCCTCGAACCATTCTCTAATAGTCCGCAGCGTGAGAAAATCTTCACGCTTATAATTGTCTAGAAGCTGTCTAAGCTCTATGGATTTGCTTCTCTCTGCTTGCACCCGATGGGGAGCATGTAATAGCGTCTAAGGAAGAAAGAAAGGCCTCTTATCCTTTGATGTTTCCTCTTGAGGGTCTGGATCGGCCATGTTGGCTAGGTGAGAGGAGACCTTGAGGTCGAAACGATTGTAGTGGTACGATTAGTTCAATTTTGAGTCTCCGTCTGTAATCTTTCGGGTTTAAACTTGATATTTATATTAAGCTTGCCTCAATGTAAAATGATAGGTATTCCGAACGAGATCGAGAAAAGTTCGCCACCGGACTTTTTCTATTATATACACAGATGACACACAATTGGGTAATGAGAGCTCTGTGAATTTAAAGCCTCCAAATGGATCAATAGCCACAAGATATAGGGATGCAGATTTTGGTGAGACTAACAAGCATGCTGGCATATTGGTCGTTAGGGGAAACGAAAATGTCGTTGCTCTCCCAGGATCCTTGTTTAAAGCTCCCAATCCCTACAATAATTTCGTGTGCTATTGGGCTTCAAAATGGGGAGAAGTCAATAGCTGAGTACTAAAATAAATAAACTATAATATTACGCGATAAAGATAGCAAGTTTGCGGCTGGTCCCAGTTTTGGGCCTACATAGAGTCTCTTGTCCATGAGAACTGCATAACAATAAGGTATCTAGAGTCCAAAATTGTAACTATAGTACTCTGCGATTGATATAACTATATTGTCTCGACGCGAGACCATCGATATGACCGCATCCAACACGAAATTAGAATAGTACACGAAAGGGTTTTTTTTTCATCCATGCACGTTTCAGGTGGACACCCGTAAAGACCAAAATGAGTGGCTCAGTCACCACGCGATAGAGCTATCGATCTAACGAAGCTTGAAATCGGATGACTCGTAGATGGCATCGGTTGATCAACCTCCCTATTCAATTATTCTGAATGGCCCCAGTTGACGCTAGTTTGAGCAGTAGATCGAATATTACCGATCATATGTTTAAACCAAATTCCCTCGTACTAGATCAATCAGCAAGTATACATTAGCGTAATTACTAATACCATGAATTTTATTTTCTGAGAACATGCACCAGATCCGAGGTTAATGTATAAAATGGAAAGGAAGATCCTCGAGCTATATTAACAGAATAGTTATGTTGTTGTTACTTCTTTGCAAAGTGGTTACTTATAGAGATTATCATAGTAATTATTACAACCAAAGTTTACAATAAAGAAATGGAACTGCACTTAACATATATTTATGTTATATCACTATGTATTGTAGGCGTACATATCGTTCGTACATTAGTCATCGATCCTGGGATGATCGATATGATAAACTTGGGCATATATTCGAAGAAATCCTGAAAAAGATTACCGCACTATTAGCAGTTCCCTGTGTAATTAGTTGGCATCACTACTTGTGCATATATATATATATATATATATTGCCCTCAGCCAGCGTCGATAGGAATCATCACTAGATAATCTAAATCTTTATGCTATCTTTAGATACGCTTTAGGAGTCCCTTCGGGAACCCTCACCAAACCAGCCTACCCGTAGCCTGACGAATAGAGACCCCATAGACTTGTCAAACTTAAATTCTTCGATTTTAATCGTATAGGATCGAATAGCTTTTGCTCGTGCTTCAGTGTCAAGTAGTTAAATGTAATCCACCTCTCCTCGTGCCCCAAGGTTGCAGGTATGGGCGCCACATTCTTCAGAGTGTGTTTTGTTAGATATGCCGACGGCTTCTCGGCTGTACGCCTATTACGTCATCACCTATAATGCCCGACTGCTGTAAGCAGAAGGGACTTATCAACCACGGATGTGTGTATATGAGGCTGGGTATGATTTGTGTGGTAGAAAAAAATAATTCATTATATAGTATCCGAATTCTGTTCTTAATTAGGATAAAAGATGGCTTTGTTAGAAAGGTGTTATGAAAATTAATATTTTTATAAATATGGTTTTGCAGTACCCATATTTGCCCAATGCAGTCGGGTGAATGTGCGGCGCAAGACGCCATATCTACCTAGGTAGTTGGCTCCAAATTTGTAGTCCGCACTTAGCCGGAACAAAATTGTTGTTTGTCAGTGTGAAATGTACGGAAGAGCTGTTTTGTGTTGTTGATACACAAATGCCCTGAGAGTCCGAGAATACAAACAAAAAAGTGTCCAAAAAAAAAGTTTCTCTCAGACGGGGAATCGAACCCCGGTCGTCCGCGAGCTATGGAAGAAGTGTTCTTTCATTGACAGGCGGAAATCTTGACCACTCGACCATCCTATTTTCTTTTTTTGGAGCACGTTTTTGGAAAATAATCTTTGCAAACACAAACTGGTTCATTTCTGTGGACAAACAGAACATTTTTGTTCTGCTGTGTTGTTACTAATTAGATGCAACATGAAACTTGTTAGTTTTGGTGTTGGGTTACTAACTTGGCTGGGAAGTATCCAACTGTTCACTGTTGGACTACAAGGTAGGAAGCATTAGCTGGCCTATTAGTTGTAGTAGTGTCGGTACTGCCCAAATACCACCGAAGATGTTCTCAAACAAGCCTCAAAGTCCAGATGTATAGAAGCGACCTCCAACATACAATTGTGCCCAGGAAGAGGCCTTTAGAACTGGGGTAAAACACAAATGTTCCTGCCAAAATGCTCGTGCATCAGTAGCCAGATCTCGATACACTTTTTGAATGTTAACTCGGGGCGAAGCGGTGCCCGTCAAACACAAAAGCTAGTCATTATCGTTTCACCTTGAACTAAGCCCGAATTGCGGGTGGATCTGGCGTGATGATATGCTCGAGACTCTGGTCTTTTGGATCCTTGGTAAGGCCGAATAGCGGAAAGGTTTGTTCACCTCGTTTGTTAAAGGTGGTTTTTGGTTAGCTTGACAAAATACAGTGAAGATAGAGTTGATCTATCACTGTTCTAAAAGACTTCATTCATCCGACTTCCGACCTAGCCAGAGCTTACTTGAATTGGGCGCCCTCTTGGCCTTGATTTTATTATTAACACTTTACAATGTTACCACCAGAGTCCATCATCGCCGTAGTCGGCGGAATAAATATGGATATGATATTCACTGTCGACCGCGTACTAGGTGCAGGCGAGTCGAAGAACGCCCGTTCCTTCGCCAGATGCCCTGGTGGAAAGGGGGCTAATACAGCAGTAGCAGCCTATAGAGCGAGCCAAATAGCCCTAAAGAACGGCATATCCAGTGGTATTAAGGTCTTCATCAATGGGGCGGTTGGAGATGACGAATTCGGACTGCAGCTTAAGCAGCAACTCGAAGAAAGTGGCGTCATTACTTCCACTGTGCAAGTGCTCAAAGGAGAGACTAGTGGACTCTGCTGTGTTCTCGCTGAGGGCGATGAGAGCAGGAACGTAGCGTACCAAGGAGCTAATTTCAAATGGAAACCGCCAGTACTTGGTTCAGTAACTTGTTTTGGAGGGAATAAAAAACCAGACCTACTTGTTCTTCATCTTGGTATTCCAGCAGATGTTATAGAGGGTGTGTTAACTACTGCCGCTCTCTTAGCGACGGATACACTTCTCAATCCCTCTCCGGCTACCCCACTAAATAAAAGCACCTACGGAAACGTTACACACTTAATACTCAACGAGTCAGAGGCGAGAATACTCGCCACGGAAAGCGTCGAGCCCAAAACCTCGGGTGGTAATATCGATTGGTTAGAATTGAGCCTGCATTTTATCCGACTTGGTGCTCAGAACGTGGTTATCACCCTCGGCGCAAAAGGTGCTGTTTATGCAACACATGAACATGAAATTGGGCATGTGAGTGCGGAAAAAGTCACCGTCGTGGATGCGACCGGAGCGGGGTAAGTGGTTAGCACGAATTAAGAAAAAACCTTAAGTTCAGCGATTAACTTGAAGATCGAGATAGGGATGCGTTCGTAGGGACCTATGCGGTGGAGTATGTTAGAAGCAAGGGGAGGCAGTGGAATATTCGGGATGCAGTTGAACGAGCGTCCAAGGCGGCCGCTAAGGCAGTTCAACATGTTGGAGCTCAGTAGTCTCGCTGGTTATCCTGCTTTCTTCATATACTGTGGTTTCGTTACATGTAATATCTGATTAAGTCCTTGTTACCCTAACCGTCAGATCGTTCTTTATATTTGAGAAGCTTGGGCGCCCCTAAGTACTCGGTCAACACTTGGGTGTTATCGAGTAGCGGCTATCAAGTTGAGATAACCGAGGAACTGCCAGTTCTAGCGAGGAACCACAGCTGCTAGTAGCAACTATCTGGCGTCTGACGGCCTCCACAACTTAATAAGATAATAATCCTTTTGTAAAGGACGACAGACTGAAAACCTTTAACGATCCCGTACATACTAGCAGGCATCTAGATTCTCGTCGCTGATTGCCCGACTGAAAGGAGGGATTTTACTCTTTCTTCCACTACCCAGTCCCCCTTCGTGATTAGTTTAATTTAAAAGATCAGGTGATTTTTATCATTTTACAACGTCTACAACACAGCCAGCCAGCCAGTCAGCGAGCGAGTGAGTGAGTGAGCTAGTGGTTAGTGCCAGCCTTCTTTCAGTCGAAGTGAGACCGGGCGGGTGAGGAGGGCTTACTTCGACTGGAAGAAGGCTGGCTAGATACTTACATGTATACATACTTACTTACATGCACATAGAGATCAGTTCAATTCAGTCAGGTTTACGTAGTCCGAAGGACCCTCCTTGTTGATATTTACGTTCATCGTCGCTCTCCATCATCTCGCTCAGTCTCATCTCGCTGTTGACTTGTTGCATTTTTTGAGCCAACATAAACTGTGGGTTTCGCCCAGTCTCGGCACTAGGTTTCGAAATTTCGCCATTTGGTCCCGCTTGGTCTCGCTGCAAAGCTTAATAGCGACCTATTCACATACGCCTATGGACCCCTGAATATCCCTCCCACCTCAGGTTTCTCCGCTTTCTAGGTATAACCGTCGTGTATTCATCTTCGCTGCTATTAAATCATCACTAATATCGATGGTCAAGCTGTAGTATCTCCACATATCTAACATCTCCACATAACCCAAATTTTACTACCCAATCGTCGTCTTTTACACTCAGCTCTTTTCTTTGTTACTGTACACAGGGCAAAGGAGGACGTTTGATCAGGTCGCGGTCGATTTGCAAAAATGTAGTCGGCGTCCCACTGCCTCGAGCGCCTGGATTCGAGGCTATCGGCGTCCAAAGGCCAGTGAAGATTTTCAATCTTGCTATACATACTGCACTCTCTCGCGTAAGAGCACTTTCCGGGCTCGGCTCTATCGTGAGGTACTCACGGCAAGGCCTTCAAATGACGGTATGCTCAGGGGCATAATGATGCGTGGATTGGGCCTACGCACATTCCCTTGTGCTTCCATGAGGTATACCCCGCGTCTTGTCGGAAAGCTCATGGTGCGCCTCCATCCCATATGATGTTGTTCATGTCTACGACATAGCACGGGGACTCTGGCGTATATCATTCAGTTAACGCAGCGGAACAACACCAGCGTTTCGTTGATATAATTATTTCGATGTAGATACCATGAATGCATTGTCACTGGACTGCCAGGCTTCTCTCCGTTATACTAGAAGTTTGTATATTCCTTAAAGACATCAAATAAAAACTACATTTACACCAAGATTCAAAAATAATCTCTTCTCAGCATATATATCATATAGGCGAAATACCTCACGCCTCAATAGCCACAGTTATAACCCTACAACCGGTCTCGTATCGAGACATCCGTGCACAAAGGTTGTAACTTTGTTTCATAAAGATAACCGGAAGCAGTGCTAATTAGACACCTTGGTGACATAGTACTGGTAGTTGCGGGGTATCTGGGGGCTGTACCGGCAGCGATGTCACGATGAAGAGAGCGGATATGCATAAAAGCTTAGACGCGAACACATAGATATATTGGTACGGTGGGGAATGAAGAGAGTTAGCTGTAGGAGGAGGGGTACGGTCGGCAATATCGTAACCTATAGGCCTGGCGCAATTAATTGTACCATTGACGGCTATACAGGCGCGGGCTGCCGAAGATGGTTAGCGACATACGTGCTCTCATCGGCGTAAAACTTTAAAAGCTAGAGCCATGATCTGGGTACGACTATATCGGCGTGTAATTGATCATTTACTAGTACGTAGTCTACATTACCGGGCCAGCTGGCCCCAGGTCCTATCTACATGAGCAAAACCGGCCTATTATCCTTTACAGCTAAATATCTTGTTGGCACTACAGCTACGCAGACGTACATCTCTACGAGTATAAAACGTGATCGGGGATGTATTAAAGACTCTCCCTCCCCGAAGGAAATCTGGTGCTCGAGTTCAGACTTTTATCTTCCTTACTCCTCAGTAAACCTTTCAATCTGATTGGTCTTGTTTTATCGCACATCGCAGTATTTTGCTGTTAGTGAGGGTCTTCGGTCTTCGGCCCTTTTGTCATCGATGGCATAGGCGCTACTCCCACGTGCCGAGGATATCGACCCGGTAGCATAGATACTGCTTTGATCTACCGTGATGGCAATCGCTGCTTCTACATTTCCAACATACTAATATCTTGTCGAGAATCACTATTCGCTATCCATCATATCTTTTATTAGTAGCCTCTATGTCACAAAGATTACAATCAACAGATCTATGATAGATTAAATGTTGTTTATACGTGTCTATAGATCTAGGGGACCACTGTCCGCCACTCACCATATTTGCTACCGGGAGCACCTTCTATCGACTGAGAGTTTGTACGTCTCTCCAAGTTGGATTCCTAGTACGATAAAGTATTGTGAGATTTAGACGCCGACTAAAACCAGGAATTAGCTCTCCTGGATCCATGGACCCTATCATGTGATCCCAATGAACGAACCCAAGAGCCTGTCATTGAAAGACAGAGAGATAAGTTTAGTCTGACAATCACTGCGGTTGCAAATTATGCAAAATAACCAGTGACGTTTCGTAGTATCAGAAAATCCGTAATACGTTGAATTAGTTTGCGAGGTTGGTGAAGTTATGGCAGCGTCTAGTGGTTGTAGATCTTATATGCCTGAGAATCCGGGCTAAAGGCCTGGGGATCAGCCTCAGATTAAAATCAAGCTTTACACTTAGTCCACGAGGCAGGACTTAGCCTCACCATATAGAGCCCGTGTCGGCCGCTCAGGGCAAGCCAGCTGTCCCCGTAAACCGAAGCCGGTAGCTCGCCTCACAGAATCCGCGTTAGCAGGAGGGAAGTTGTATTATCGGTGTGTTGTCGACTCGTTGGTGTGTTGGATTCTGGGATGTCAAACATGGTCT